GTGGACTGAATAATTGGCGGTTCGTATTGGATAATTTTTACTAACCGAGTTTTATGGTTGGCTGAAGTCATAAAACTTGATTTGAAGTCGAAGTTACGGTGACGAATAGAATGCGAGGATGTTTATACTCGTTGTGCTGTCAATGTTCAGTTCAGGAACTGATCGCGATTTGAGTGCTGAAATTCGATATTGCTACAGTTATAATTACTTAAAGTTTTTGTTATCTGTTTGAAATGTGGTGTCCTTGGACAAGTACTAATAGTAATAACGAGTGTAATAACAACGCAGACTTTTTCCTGTGTAGTGATTCGAATAGCGATGGTGAACAATGCGAAAAAGAGATACCAGTGAATAAGATTCATTTGCATTTGAATAATGAAACACAGAGCGTATGTTTCTATGTATATAAGAATCTACATCTCAAGTTTGGTTTCGAGGGAAAAAAACTATTACAAGCAACATCAGATTTGACCGAAATTCCTTTCTCAACTGTACGTAAAATAATCAAAAACAAACCTTATGAACGCAAGACGCGATGTGATACGGGATTACCAAAACCTTCAGATGTTCATCTGATAAAATCATTGAAAAAAGCAATATACGAATGTTACAAAAGCAATGAGATTCCTACAACTCAAATCATAAGGAAGAAATTGAATACTTCCGGTCATAATGTGAGCTGCTGCAACAAAACTCTTCAGAATTGGATAAAGAAACTTGGATTTAGATTTAAAATAATAAACAAACGTCAAGCAGTTATGAAAAGCAGAAGAATAGTGGAATTGCGTAACGAATACTTACAACAAATAACTAAATATAGACAAGAATTTTCTATTTGGACGAAATTTAGTATGACACTCATGACACAGTTACGAAATGGTGGACTGATGGTTCAAGAATGTGTACGCGTAACATGCCTGCAAACAAAGGATCGTGACTAATCATTGTACATTGCTGAGGAAGTAAAGTAATGGTTCCGAATTCTTTGAAATGATGTGGAAAAAAACCTTGAGGACTACAATGTTGACTGGTTCGAAAACACATTGATCCCAAATTTGGATACAAATAGTGTAATAGTTCTTGACAACGCTTCCTATCATTCGCAACAGCTCATCAAAGTACCGAATAAAAAGTCGAGGAAAGATGAAATACAAAGTGGCATAGTAAGTTCTTGCCACATGGTGGTACGGTCAATAAGGAGTATTATCTTGAAGTTATGCGCCGCTTGCGATAAGCAATACGAAGAAAACGTCCTGTATTGTGAAAGAATAATTCGTGACTTTGCTTGCCTCAGCCACCGTATTCACCAGATATGGTCCCCTGCGACTTTTTCCTGTTCCCAAGATTGAGGAGACCTATGAAAAGTTGGCGTTTTGTGACGATTGTGAAGATAAAAACTGATCCGCTGAGAAAGCTCAAAGACATACCAAAAAGTGCTTATCAGAACTGCTTTGAGGATTGGAAAAAACGCTGACACACATGTATTATAGCTTTGAAGAAGACAAAATAGAAACTGATGACTGATGATGGATATGTGTTGAAAGAGAAGTCAAATTTTACATCAAATATGAGTAACCGCCACCAAGATACGAGAATTGAAGACACTTGCCGTGTTAGGAATCACACGTTGAAAGGTAAGACCTCGTTAATCCTTAACTCGCACAAGTTTCGACTTCTGAGGGTTGTAGTTCGTAGGGGTGCGACAGCTGGTTAATGGAAAAACATATTTTAAAACAGACAGAACAGATTGACTCTTCAGCAATTATTTTGATAACATTACAAGATAAAACAGTCAGTCCATTCATAAAATTACAACCTTATATCACGAATGAGTTTAATCTACTCATGTCATCGATGACAGGTACTTAAGTAACTTATTCTGCGCCAGAATTCATTGGACCAAAATTCACAGAAATCTTCCTGAATATGTGAAGGCTTCTAAGCAGTTGTGTGATTAAAAAAAACACTGAAAGCATATTAAAATATATTTTGTGTTTCATTCTCACAATTTCATACAGAATGTCCCAATCAGAAAGGATTACACCACAATACATGATATTTTGGATACCTGTTGAATTTCATGTAACTCAAAAATAAGTCAGTTTTTGATGAGTGCGTTTAATGTGTGTGTTTAACAGTTCGATCAGCCGATATTTGGTTATGTATAAGAATGTAAATATTTAAACATTTTCGCAGTTAAAAATTCTTTGAGGTTTCTGAGGTTCCTAAACACAAATCTGATCTCATATTATCGATATTGTGATCCATAATAGGTCATGGGTCTCCCAAAGCGAGTCAATTTTTAAATATTCCTGAAAAAATTTTTTGAACTTGTATCTGAGGGGTTTTTGCGAGCACCGGTTAAAAATTTGAAGTCAGATTATCGATATGATGTCCCAGTAGGTCTTATAGGGAATCTTATATAGGCTGATCATACTGTTTTACGGGTTAGATTTGAGGTTCTGTAGCTTCGCACTCAAGAAACTTTTTGTTTTACTCTTCAGAAATTACCTTTTCTCCAAGTTTCAGAAAATTTGACGTGTATCAAAAACTCATGTTGTGTGTGTGGTCTCTTGTTGAAATTGTTTGATATTTCGGTTGAAAAATGACTTTTGTTCAAAACGCATTACTGGTACCAACGGTAACTGATGAAGTTACTGTGTAGCTGGTACCGCCAGTAACTGATGAGCTACCATGTAACAAAACGCTATTATTATTATGATAGATAGCTAGTTACTGGCACCACCATTAACTGATGAAGCTACTGTGTAGATGGTACCACCAGTAACTGATGAAGCTACCATGTAACGAAACGTTTTTTAAATAATGTTTAGTGTGAAAATTCCATAATTATCATGGATAGCTAGTTACTGGTACCATTAGTAACTGATGAAGCTCCGTGTAGCAAAACACATTTTAAATAAAAAATGATTGTGAACATTCTATCATTATTATCATGGATAGCTAGTTATCAGTATCACCAGTAACTGATGAAGATACCGTGTAGCAAACGCTTTTCAAATACAATTTATTGTAAAAATTTCATATTTATTATCATAGATAAACAGGTATGAGTACCACCAGTAACTTATGAAACTACCGTGTAGCTGGTACCACAAGTAACTGATGAAGCTACTGCGCAGCTGGTACCACCATTAACTGATGAAGCTACTGTGCACCGAAACGCTTTCAAAATAAAATTGATTTTGAAAATTCTATAATCAATATCGTGGATAACTAGTTATCGGTACCACCAGTAACTGATGAAGCTACCGTGTATCTGATACTACCAGTAACTGATGAAGCTATGGTAGCACCAGTTACTTATGTAGCNACCAGGCCGTGGGTATATTAATATGTCCTGCTTCAGTGTTTCATTCAGTTTAAACTATGAATTTGAAACCTCTCACTTTTTGTACTGACTAGATCGAAGTTTCTCATGTATAAATACTGTATTTTGTATGAGTCAAAGTCTTGCATCTGAGAATTGACAGGAAACTGAGAGTTAAAATACTGAGTAGTTTTTCAGATGAATATATCTCAGAGCAGGGAGTTCCACAGGGTTCACCACTCATACATTGTTATATAACTTATGCAGGTCTGATATTTATCATCACCAACAAGGAAATATCAACCACTTCAGGCATGAAGCATATATCCTCCAGTATGCAGACGCATCGCCCTAATTGCGCACAATCAAACGCTAGACAAAGTTATTAAAAATTTGGAACATCTTGCAACAATAACAAATAACTGGTTCAATAAATGGAGGCTTCAGCCAAATCCATCTAAGTCTCAGTTTATCATATTTAATCATCGGAATTCCGCAACTTATCCAACAATCAACGTTTTCCAACATATCCTACATGCAAAATCGACAGTTAATTACCTATAATCCGGTCAAATTAGACTAAAAACTAAGAGTGAAGGTACATAAATTTACAACAAGCTGCAAATGCGTGTAATTGTTTAAAACATAGTTAAAAATAAGATTTTAAAAATCCGAATAATTGCGATGCCTGGAAAAAAATTTATTCGAAGTCAAAGGTCAAAAATCTCGAAAAAAATTGGTTTTTCGCGATTTTCAGGAAAACGGTAAGTTTTATCATAAAATAACTTCAGATAAAAATTTTAGATCATAAAATTCTCTACAAAAAATGTATCAATACTTTTTTTCTTAGAGCATTCGTTTTTGAGATACGACGAGTCAAAAAGTTGTAATCGTCACTATATGCATAAGTATGCCACGTATATACATCTCTGAAGTTGTAATTCAAGTAAAAATATAGAGCAATTTAATTTGACAAATACAACTATTGTTGTTGATGAAGATGCAGACTTGCTCGTACTTCTTACTGCTCGAACTCCACCTGAAAAAACTATTTTCTTTCTAAAGCCAGGAAAAGCTCAAAGTAAAACCGAAATATATTCGTCAAAAAGTTTATCTACTTTTGCAAAGAGTCAAAATCATGTACTATTTTTACACGCAATAACTGGCTGTGATACGACGTCTGCATTTTACAGGAGGGGTAAAGCAACAGTCTTTAAAATGTTTGAAAAACAAGATTTACTTCAATGTGCTGAAGTTTTCAAAAAAAGTAATTTAACTCAACAAGAAATTATCACCAATGGGATTCAGTTTCTTCTTTCTATGTACAAAGCTCCGAAAAAACCACCTGCTTAGATAAGTATCAATATGCATGTTTCGAAAAACACACTAAAAATAAGAAATAGGTGCAATTAGCTTGTCTTCCTCCAACCTCAGTTGCTGCTCATCAACATCTTTTCCGGGTATATTACCAAGTTCAAGTGTGGCTTGGTTATCAGCTAGACCCAAAAGACTGGGGTTGGAAGTTGGTCGACAATGCATTAGAACCTATTCAGACTTTACTCCCACCTGCGCCGGAAAAACTCATTTACCTGCTCACATGATAAAGAAATTCAAGAAGCAAATTTTGGAAAACTTTTCAAAACCAAATCTTCAATACAAAATAACTCACCGCTGACATCCTTTTTTGGGCCTTTCGGAGTATTATTCGTAATCGGAGGTTTACTCGTTCGCATACTAAATCTACCACTATCTGTCCTTGAAAAGATCTGCGACCTGTTTGGTGTAATCTTCGATGCACTCGAAACTTTTGGCACATTCTTCACTTCTTTGACTGGAGGAGGAGGAGGAGGTGTTGTTCTTTTATTAATGTTCGTGAGATACCTGCTTTGCACGTCATTAGTCTTCATAGGTTTTCTATCGACGGATATAGCTCGTTCCTGTTTCAGTTCTGGCTGGAATGTCTTCCGTCTCATCTCTGGAGTGTTGGGACATCTGACTTGGGAGGTTTCGTTGTCAGCTCGAGCCCTTCGTAAACTGAACGCACGATTACATCTAGTATTAGTAATGTTGGCCAAATCCTTGCTTTTTTGAAGATTTTTCTCGTAATCTTCTTCAGAACTGGATTCGGTATCACCAAATCGACTTCGGTCTATCTTCTGATGTTCAGATATACTCCCTCTTCTGTTAACAATATAATTTGGTTTAATGCTAGCCGTGGAAGAACTTCTTTGAATAGCTGTATTTCTCGTGAGATTGGGGGAATTACAAACATTGGATGATCCTTTCTGAAGTACATTCGTATTCTTGGATGAATGAATTTGATTTTTTGTTGAGAAGCTGCTCGATCTTCTGATTGGTGAGTTGTTAGGGGAGTTTTGAATCTTGTGAATGACTTTCTGGGAGTATTGATTAAACAAATTTGTGTAAGTTTGTTCAATACCTTGCAGGTTTTTGTTCTGAAAGTGTTCTAGTTTGTTGGATATATTCATTGTTCGGTCATCCAGGGAATTGTGTCTAGTGTGAGAGGTTTTCTGTTTCATTAAGTGTGCTGTATTATTCAGTTGCAAACCATATTTAACATCATAATCGCTGTCAGGATCACTATCTAGAGAAAGGCGCTGTTGTAAAGAATTTATGTAGTTTTGTGTTGGCTTCAAAATGGAGTCAGTGTCCAGACAATTATCTGAAAACTCTAGATTTAGTGAGCTTTGGCTATTCCTGCTACGTGGACGAGAAATTGTATGTATAGGTGATGGAATTTTAGATGGAGAAGTTTTTCCTGTATATCCCCCAATGGCTGGGGGCAAATTTGATGTTTGTTTAGATATATTCGACAGTTTACCTACAACAATGCTCTCGTGCACAACACCGATCGGATCAACAGTGTTTTTCACTTCAATATTTTGAACATTCACGATATTAGCTGTTAGTTTTGGATTTACTTTTTTTAATGTATCAGTCCTACACACCGGATTGCCTACAACATCATTGTAGCTTTTACCGTCCACATACGCTTGCACATGAATTTCAGACTTTGTGAGACTATATTTCCTTTCCAGTTTTTTTTCAACCTTTGGCTTGAAAGCCCCACTAGAGGTCACTGAAATAACAGAACCGTGATCACAGTTGGGTTCTAATCCTTCTCGTTTGGCATTGGGACTAGGAAACATAATTTTTGTAAATGTTTTATTATTTGCATCATTGTCACTATTATTCATCACCAAACCTGTCTTCTTCATATCCTGTGTGATAGACATATTTTGAGTAGGGTACATGATGGGTGAAAGTAATTTTTTCGATTGCATAGGACTTTTGTCAGATTTAATTGCAGAAGTTGGTTTTGGAGTCTTTTCTAACAAATGCATTGTCTGAACTCCCATAGCAATGTCATTATCCCTTGTCACAGACTGGTTCACATTAGTTGTGTTCTGAAGAATGTGATCTCTAACGGTAGAAAGACTTTTGATGTAATCCTCAGTTTTCTTTCGTACAGATACATTTTCAATCCTAAATTCCCTATCGATACTCATCCTTGCTTTTTGTTCTTCTGAATAATTTTCTGCATCTAGAGTATAAGTACCTGTATCACTGGCAGTGTCTGATTTCTCAAATTCAAAGTCATTTCCATCTATGAAAACATTGTCATTACAAGTTGCTCCAATGTAAAGATTTTCACAATCTGGACTTAAAAATTGCGTCTTTTTCGTGGTTAATGAATCTTGCTTGCTTACTTGATCCTTGTTGGGACTGAAGGGACTTATGAGATCTAACTCAGGACTTGATACATCCTTCAGCTCTACCTCCGGACTGATTATGTTGGGCAGTGCCGAACTAGGAAATGACTGGGTCATTCTATCNAAATAAAAGTCTGAATATCGAGATTCAAAGTTGTAATTTCCAAAAAAAATAATAATATGTTGCCCTTCTGCGTTTCCGGATTGCATGCATATACCGCCACAAATGTCAACCGAAAATGATGACATTTTGCAATCTCTCCCTCAGAGTAATAATACCTCCCCCTAAATAGCAACCCATATTTCACTTATCAACTATGAACCACAGTAGAAAGCTAAAGTTGTAGCTACGCTGTGTCTGAATCCTGTTGAAAAGGAGGAGGGATTTTATGATACGATTTACAATGTTGGCTACACTTGCCATTAAATTGATGGTTGAACCACAGAATATCGGAACCAAAGAGTACCACAGTGGTCTGTGAAGAGTACACAACTACCTACTCTGTGATCGGGATACATCAACAGAACTATAACTTAGAGAGTTCTGTGACTACACCCGATCATAGCACAGGTAACAATCTGTGACCCGATATTCTGTTGTTGATCTGTCAAATGTGTTACAAATATTATCTATCAAGATTTATTTATTTTAACGTTCAGCAGTAACGAAAATGTAAAAAATTTGAAAATAACGCCAAAATTTAATGTTTGCCTTCTTTATTGAAATAGGAAAGCCAGTCATACAATATCAAGGTATATTGCCACAAACTACAAATCAAAACAAACCTAGTAGTGCGGTGAAGTAGGTCTTTTTTTGCTTTTTTGATATTTCAGTTATGATCGTGATATAGGTTTTGGAATGTTCTTCGGTAATCTTCTAGTAAACGAAATGTCTTTGCTAATCTTTTGATGATGTAGTCTACTTGTATCATTAGTATGTCGCTAGAAAAGTCCCGTATTGAAGAAGTTATCGAGGAAATCAATTCAAAAAATGCCAAAAAAGTGGCCCTTCTTTTGGTTATAGGATTTGCCTGTTATCATGGATTACTTCATTATAGATTTGGTAATTATAATTTCATCCATTAGACGCCTTTCAATTATTACTAAAGATATATTTTTAATATTATCCCAACTTATGAAAAACTTTTGGTTTCTATAAACTCATATTTTGCTGAGTATTGATTAATATATAGGACATTAAAAGAAGAAATGGACCAATAATTTCATTTTTTCAACAAAATTAATTTTTTGTACGAATTTTCATTTGAAATATTATTGTTGATGCAAAAACCCAAAGTTGAAAAATTTCCATTTTTTTCCAATAGTAAAGTACACTCTTAATTTAAAGTTTTCAGCAAAATGCTATTCAAGAAAATTATTTGAAATCTGTAGATATTCTGAAATATTGGTTTAGATTATGTTTCATTTCATTCAAAATCTTTAGGACCTCTTTTTGTCTACCACAAGTGTACTGTATATAAACTTTTTGAATAAAAAGCTGTCGAGTTTGGAGATGTCGCTTGATTATCATATAAACATAATCTGCGAAGAATATTAAACAAACTGATGATCTTCATTTTGGTTTTTCAGGCACAAATTCTTGCAAGTGGTTGCTATCTGATGGAAGATATAAGGCAGATCAAGAATGGCAACCATATGGATGCATGCTTCATTTCTACAGTAAAACGTAANGTGTAGAGAGAAGCTTTTTAAATATAATTCATTTTGAAAATTATATAATTATTTTCATGAATAAAGTTTAAATTTAAATAATGAATGAAAACGATTCATGTTTATTTCATATTTTGATTAAAACCAATAAAGCCTATCAGAATCAATGAAATTATAGAAAAGTAATGTTTTCACAGTGACACTAGAAGATGTCTTCGTTACCTAGCTTACTATGGCTCAGAAACTCACTTCGTATTCATAGGAGATTCTCGTATAAAAGAATTATACACTGCTTTTGTTCAACACTTGGTTCAAGATGAAGACATCAGCCAAAAACCAGACAGATCTAGCATCAATCTAACTCATGTAGACAACACCCTGAAAATGAAGGTCGATTTTATTTGGTCTCCTCTCATTTCAAAGGAGATGATAAACTCCTTCAGGTAAAATATTCAAATCGTATTAATCTCCATTCACTTTTATTGATTAAGTTTGGTTCCTGTGTATTTTTCAGTTCGTGGCAAAAATCGATAGATCCCCCTTCAGTAATTATTGTGGGCTGTGGCCTCTGGCCTATAATAACATCTAATGGATCTCTTTCCACGTTTCAAGAATACAAGTTGAATATAACGAGGCTAGTGCAACCGATAGATAGGCTGCATAAGAGGAAAACAAGAATCCTTTGGGCTTTGCAAGAGCCTGTTAACGAGGAAAAGCTGAAACCCGAACATCGCATGGTTACCAATGAACAAATTGATCTGTATAACAAGGCTGCGATAGAGGTTGGTCAAAATCAAAGAAAACTAATGAAAATCCCAACGTGTGTATCCCTCATCTAGGTGTTGTCATATTCTTCTGCAGATGTCTGGTGGAGTTTACGCTTGGTAGGGCAAGGAATGATTTTGGAAAGTCCGGATGGCATCCATCTTGCACAAAGACCTCTGAGGCATGATACTCAGATTCTACTCAATATGTATTGTAATGATAATATGAACTTCAATGACGGAACTTGTTGCAGCTCAGTAGAAACCAGGACCACTTTGCAAATTGTGACCTTTGCAATTCTAGGAGTATGGTAAGAAACCGGTGTAGTTTTTATTATTTTTCTCTCAAAACTGATGGTAAACAGATCTTCCAATAAGAGGTCACCACTAGCAGAGTTTTTCCAGGACAATCCTTATGCCAAAATGGATTGTACAAGTTCAATAGTACAGTAAAGCACATCTAATGAAACTGATTCACTACAAGACATACAGGGTCTGTTAAAAAAATAAGGTGGGTGTTCAAAGAATTTGCATCAGATTTTATGTAAAACATGGAATCGAGTGCACTTGATATGTTGACAGTGGTATACGGTGATTGTATTCTGAATCAAAAAAATGTTTACAAGCAGTACAAGGTTTTAATAATAATCTTTATTTAAAATAGGAAAATCCTAATTTACACACATTTCTAATATTTCTGTTACATATTGGAATTATTTAAAAATATACAGGCTGATTCACGGTGGATGGCACATTAGACGTTTCTGGTGAACCAGACAACGGATCACTTTGAAAATTTAATGGAGGGCATATTCGGACATTCTCTAGCCAACTAAAATATTTTCGACAATGCGGTGTTG